AGGCCGCGGGGCGCCTGGGGCCGGGGGTCGCCGGTCGGGGAGGAGGGCCGCGGGGCGCCGCCGTCACCTCTCTCCGCCTCGCCTTCGCCCAGACCCGCCAGCCGCGCAGGCCCCGCCTCGCCCGGAGGGGGATAGACAGAACCGGAGGGCACAGCGCCTGGACTCGGGGGTGGGGTGGGGGGGGTGGGGGCGCTGGACCGCCCTGCCCTGGGTTCCTGGAGGCGAGCTCGAAGTTCGCACGCTTCTTGTACCTTCGTCTCTGGGCCCCGAGCCCGTCAGCGTCTGTCTAGGGAGGTCCTGCCCGCGCGGGCGCCATCTGGATCCTGGTGGCCCACTCTGCACATCTGGCCTGTGCGCCCTCGGGAGGCCTCCCGGCCTTGCTGCAGTTGTGTCTTGGGCCGGGGTCGCAGGGCTGGTCGGTCTGTCTTTATACCTGGGTGTTGGGCATGCGTCGTGTTTTGCCGGTCGTGGCTGAGTCCGAAGGGGCAGTTGACAGCTGGTCTCAGGCTTAGGGTTAGGGGTTTTGTTCCCGCTTTTCTGGGGGCGGCAGTTCTAGCCTGAGCGTTTTCTTCTCTGGCCGGCCCTGGAGGGCTTCGGCCACTCTTGAGGACCGAGGGCTGTGAGCATACTTGCAGAGTGATGGGCCTGAGGTCCCTGGGGACCCAGCCGGGTGGTGAGGCCCCAGGCAGCAGAGGTCTACAGGGACTGGGACCCAAAGCGCACCTCCCCCGGGCTGAGCCAGGAGGTTGTGCCACAGCCCTGTGCTGGCAGCCCTGCAGAAGAGGCGCTCAGCCTGTTTTGACAGACGAGGGTACTGAGGCACAGAAGCGGCTGCAGTCTGGCACAGGCGGCATGTGAACCCAGCAGTCTGGAATGTGCGTGGACTCGAGGCCAGGACAGGCAGCTTCCCCCTGAGCACAGTGTCCCTGGGCTGGGCTGGAGTGAGAGCCCCGCAGGAGCCCCGGTGCCAGGGCTGGTGACCCGCTGAGAGCCTGGCTTGGAGCAAAGCCTCAGGAACAGGCTGCAGTGGACGGCCATGCCATCTCGCTGTTGGGCAGGCTCTGTGCCCACTTCGTTGGGTACTTGGCACTACAATGCCTGGAGGGTCCTTTCGGCCACCCAGATGGGTAGAGTGCCAGC